CTGCCGGAGGGCGACCCCGAGTCGGGGGGCGACTCAGAGGATGAGGGTGACTCGGACTCGTCTGGCGATGGCGAAGACGAGGAGAAGGAGAATGAGGCCGAGATCCAGCGGCTGGAGGAGCAGGTGGGGCCCGCCTCGGCCGGCGACGGCGTGGGGAGGGGGTGGTGGGGCAGCACCGCGGCCTCCGCCCGGTCCCGGCTCCTGGCCCAGGGGAAGAGGTGTTGGAGGCCGGGCCCTGCGCTCGTGGCCCGCCCGCGTTGCTACGAGAGACGCGCCGGCCCCGGGCGCCCCGCGGGAGCGGCCCCAGGAGCGGCCGCGGGGAAGGCTCGTCCCGGAGAACCGACGCCTCCCCTCCGGGAAACCTCGGAGTGGGGCGAGACCCGGCCTTCGTGGGGTCTTCCTTTTTGTGACTGCCTGCTGGAGTGGCTGGGGCGGGGGGGGGGGGAAAAAAATATCCGTGGCTGCTTGCGTAGCTTGATGCTGGAAACTGTCGAGACGTGAATGTTTGGAGTCTGAATTGGAAACTAGGCGTTTGGGGGTTTTTTGAGAGGGAAATTAGAGAGGAGGGCCGTAGTGGACAGTTTGTAGTCATCGAAAAAAACTTTGCTAGCTGTTTGGGGTTTTTTTAATTGCCTTTGAAGAAATTAAAACACATTTGGCTCTGTTGAAGAAGGCTTTTTTCATGTTGCGCTCCTGGGTCTGTTTCTGCAGCTGGTAGCTACTGTACTTCTGGTGCTGGCATTTGCACTGCTGAGCAGTAACCTTTAGAGCTTAGAGCTGTAAGGCTAAGCTCTAAGCTTAACTTTAGAGCTCTGTTAAACTTGGAAGTGGGAGACATTTATAGATGTCTCCTTGTGACCTGAAAGCATCTTGCAAACAATAGTGAAGTTTTGGTGCAGCGCTGCGCAGGAAGGTAGGTGTTGTCTTGGCTATGTGGACACATGATGAGATTTGTATGCCCCAAAAGGCAGTATGATACTCTGTTCTGCTAAATGTTTTCTGATTTCTTCATGTCTCTCACTCAACAGTGCTTTTAAAAATTTTTTTTAAAGCTTTCCATCAATGCTTTTGACTATAACTGTCACTTGGATCTGATAAAGCTGCTGCGCCAGGAGGGAGAGTTGGTAAAGCTCAGAAGAGCTCGTCAGAAGATGAGTGAACTCTTTCCACTTACCGAAGGTACAGAGCATCTTCTGCTGATGTTGCAGTCAATACTGCTTAAGCATTGTCTGTGTAAAATACCATTGTCTCAGCAGTGAAATGATGTGCTTGTGCCAGGCTTCAACAACATTGTTCCAGTCCAGAGAAACCTAAAACAACAAATTTGGGACTTTTTAAACTCTGAATGGTGCTGGTGTTAACGGCCAGCATTGAGCTTGGCCTCTGACAGGCACAGGGTAGCGAGCTTGTTGCAGGAATTCGAGCTCTTGGCTCTTGCAACTGCACTGTCCTGCCCTGTCCTCTGCCAGAGGCTGCTGCGGTAGAGTGGGACTGGTGTGGGGGGGTGTTTGTGTGTGCCCAGCTACTCCAGTTGCTAGTCTGCCCGTCTGTTAGCTGGGGGAGTTGCTGCCAGGATGTGACCTGCTGTAGCCCAGGGACAGGTGTATGTTTGCTTGTGCTGCCTTTGCTGTAGGGCTGGTAATATACAGCTGTGGGATGGCAGCACTGAAACAGCTTCAGTCGCTTAGTCAGTGAATGTGACTCACAGTGCAGACAAATTGCTGCCAAAAGTTAAATTTTGCAGGCAAGCAGCAAAAGATGTTGGTGGAAGTTGCAGGTAGTCCTTGAAGTGGGTGGTTTTTATTCATAACACAGAGGCAATGTAAATATTGCAGAAGCTGTTCTGCGAGTGTGCTTTTAGCCTTGGCAAGGGAAGGTTTCCTCCTATGCATGTGGAAACTTCCAGCCTCTAAAGCCATTTACTGTTTCTTGTAAAAGTGTGAGGAAAGGTGTACCTCTGGATGCCTCTCTGGTTCATGCTGATCCTCTGCCCATGGTACTGGTAAATTGCTGCTTGCAACTTCTGCTCTCTTTAAATAGAAGTGCGCTTGTTTAGTACTAATCGGAAAAGGTCTCTACCAAACTTTTCTTTTAAATTTATTGTGAGTAGTTGTGGAGGCTAAAATTGCTCTCCTCTCCCCATTTTTAAGTCTGTTACTAAAAACTCTCATAAAAAAATTCAACAGGTGGATTTAACTTACTCTTTCTGAACATTGGTGATGTATTCTAAACTTCTTTCTTTCAGAAATTTGGCTGGACTGGTTGAAGGATGAGATAAAAATGGCTTCTGAAAGCTCTGAGCGAGAGAAAGTTTATGAGCTGTTTGAGAGAGCTGTGAAAGACTACATCTGTAAGTTGTTAATATGCTATAAAATGTATTGTGTTGCATTCAGATTATGGCTTTCTCTTTCTAGGAAAGTTTCATCCTTCTGTTATAATGCAGAAATTGGATCAAAAATGTTAGCGTGAAGTGATCCTCATCTTTTTCTGAAGCATTGGAGTTAAAGGCCATTCACAGGCAATGCTTTAAGTACTATTGCAGTCTTGAAGATCTTCTAAACAAATGTTGTAAAAAGTTTCGAATGCATATTTCGCACTTCTCTAACCTCTAAAAGCAGCAGATATTGCGCTCACCTAGGGAATGCTTTCTCTCTTACCCATCATGGGTTCTTTAGCTCTTTCTTTGAGGAAAGTGAATGCTTTTAAAAGGCTTATTTCAACTCCTGTCTTCTGTGTTGGTTAGCACTGTCTCTACTGCCATTTCCACTATGTGACAGCTCTTTCAGAACATAGTTACTGTCTGTGGGACAGCATTCTTGAAACCCTGCGAAGTAGGTAACCCTAGCCATGCTGCGGTACCAGGCTCTGGTCATCCTCGTTACAAGTGAGGGAAGTACGTGGTGTCTTGTCTTTCCATTTCTCAGGAGCTGCCTGCAGCTGTAGCTTAAAACTTTTAGCTTAAAGCACTGAGTAACTGTGTGCTCTTCGGGTACTGTGGTGAGGTGCTGAAAACAGAAAGCCTGAAGAAGCAGAGAGGGCTTGGTAGCATTGAGGCGAATTCCTTGCAGAAGCTATATACAAAATGTCACATTACAGCACCGGCATATCTAGCCTCACAGGGCGTTGGTGATCGTTCAGGAGGAAGGAATGGAGAGGTGAAGAACTGAGAGGGAGTATCCTCTGGATCTGCTGGATGGATTGCACCTGGGGTTTGGAAAGACTTCTTCTGGAGCCTGAGATGGGCAATCTAACATCCATTGGTTGGATAGTGTCTGCTGGGGGTCCCTGAACCTAATTTGCTCAGATATTGCTATTGGTGGGAGAGGTGCCAGGCAGCTAACGCTGTTCTAGCAAATCCTTCTCCTTCATAGTTACACTGCTTAAGCAGTTGCTGAACAGGCAAGTACAGGAGTCTGGAAAGAGAAGAAGGACCTACTTTAATCTGAGTTTTGTAGGAGCGCGACAGCTTTGTGGTCCCAGCTCTGCACATGTGTGCAAGAAAAGTCAAGTTGCTGTTAGGGGGGAGTCTTGATGCATCTCTGATGTAGCTTGTGTACCAGAGGTGGCATACAGGAGTCAGTCTGTGTCGGTAACGACCACAAGAGTGACTTCTTTCAGAAGACAATTGTAGCAGCTGGTACTGAACCAAGAGCCTAGAATAAAATATTTTAATTTTTCTTTACTACGTTGGATGGTAAAGAAAATTGTCATGTGTTGGTCTATTTGTGGGTGTTTGGGAAGCAGAGATATGCCTTTTTTATTTTTGAGGGGATTAGGTCATCTGTTTCCTATAACTTTGTTTAGGTCCTGAAATTTGGTTGGAATATGCCCAGTATTCAATTGGTGGCATTGGCCAGGAAGGAGGAATTGAGAAAGTTCGCTCAATATTTGAGAGAGCATTAACTGCCGTTGGACTGCATGTGACAAAAGGAACAGCTTTATGGGAAGCATACCGTGAGTTTGAGAATGCCATACTGGAAACGGCACAGGTAAGGCCGGTCTCCTGGGCTCTTGTAAGAAACAAGTTGTGGTGTAGTTTCTGAAGTTGTCTTGTGCTGCCCCCCTCATCAGTCTCTTCTGAGATGTAATGTCACACAGTTGTTTCTTTTCAGCTGTAGAAACTGACCCTTTGGCCTGGGAAAAACATTCTGTGTATTTAGTTGATATAGTAATGGATTTGTGTTTAAATAAGATCATAAAATCTCACATCCAGAAGCA